ATTAAAAAATTAGCTAGGTGTGGTGGCGAGTGCCTGCAGTCCAAGCTACTTGGGAGACTGAAACAGGAGAGTCTCTTGAACCCAGGAGGCAGAGGTTGCAGTGAACGGAGTTGCTCCACAGCACTCCAGCCTGGCAACAGAGCGAGACTCCGTCTCAAACAAACAAATGAATTTATTTAAACTATGAATTTATAATGCATTACAAACAGTGTAATTTGGTAATGAGATGAAGTTTAAAGTTCTACAAAGAATGCCTCCTTGTAGGCCAGGCGTGGTGGCTCACGCCTGTAATCCCAGCACTTTGGGAGGCCGAGGTGGACAGGTTACCTCAGGTTGGCAGTTCTAGATCATCCTGACCAATGTGGAGAAACCCTATCTCTACTAAAAATGCAAAAAATTAGCCATACATGGTGGCATATGCTTGAAATCCCAGCTACTTGGGAGGCTGAAGCAGAAGATTGCTTGAACCTGGGAGGTGGAGGTTGCAGTGAGCTGAGATCACGCCATTGCACTCCACCGGGGGAAAAAAAAGAAAAACTTTGCCAAAAAAAAAAAAAAAAAAAAGAGTGCCTCCTTGTAATTGTATAGTGTAGGTATATCTTTGGGATGCTAGTGTAACCTTATTTAGACAAATTGTCAAAAGCTTTGGTTGAAGCTTCCTATGAATGTGGGGCCAGGGCCCCATAAGCTTAGGTGTTGGAATAGATAACTGGATTAAAACAGTTTAACAGATTCAGTTCATTAAATACAAGAGAGAATGGGATTGAGAACATAGATAATTGTGAGAAGTTTATTAATTATTATTATTAATTTTTTCTTTTCTTTTTGGGGCCATGCTAATCTTCTCTGTATTGTTCCAATTTTAGTATATGTGCTGCTGAAGCGAGCACTATTATTATTATTATTGTTTTTTGAGGTGGAGTTTCTCTCTTTTGCTCAGGCTGGAGTCCAATGGCACAATCTCAGCTCACTGCAACTTCTACCTCCTGGATTCAAGTAATTCTCCTGCCTCAGCCTACCTCGTAGCTGGGATTATAAGCGTGTGCCACCATGCCCAGCTAAGTTTCGTATTTTGAGTAGAGATAGGGTTTTGCCATGTTGGCCAGGCTGGTCTTGAACTCCTGACCTCAGGTCATCCACCCACCTTGGCCTCCCAAAGTGCTGGGATTATAGGTATAAGCCACCATGCCCAACATGAGAAGTTTAAACAATGAATTACGATTTTCAAACTGAATTGTCAAGGATGTTATCTTAGTCTGTTTGTGCTGCTATAACAAAATACCACAGACTGAATAATTTATAAATACTAGATATTATTTCTCACAGTTCTGGAGGTTGGGAAGTCCAAGATCAAGGCAGCAGCAGGTGTGCTGTCTGGTGACAGCTGCTTTCTGCTTCCAAGATGGTGCCTTTGTTGCTGCATCCTCTGAAAGGGATGAAGGCTGTGTCCTCACACAACAGAGAGACGAAAGGGCAAAACAACTGAATGCTGTGTGAAGCCTCTTGTATAAAATTCTTAATCCCATTCAGAAGGGAGGAACCCCATGACCTAATCACCTCCTAAAAGCCATACCTCTTTAATACTGATGCATTGGAGACGTTTCGACACGAATTTTGGAGAGACACAAACATCCAAACCATAACAGAAATGAAAAGAGAAGGGAGTGATAGGTTGCAGAAAATGGAAAGGTTAAGGATAAATGAGGTGTAAGTAATGAAATAACAGAACCAGATGATTATTAAGAATATGGTATACTGCGGCCGGGCGCGGTGGCTCACGCCTATAATCCCAGCACTTTGGGAGGCCGAGACGGGTGGATCACGAGGTCAAGAGATCGAGACCATCCTGGTCAACATGGTGAAACCCCATCTCTACTATAAATACAAAAATTAGCTGGGCATGATGGCGCATACCTGTAGTCTCAGCTACTCGGGAGGCTGAGGCAGGAGAATTGCTTGAACCCAGGAGACAGAGGTTGCGGTGAGCCGAGATCACGCCATTGCACTCCAGCCTGGGTAACAAGAGCGAAACTCCGTCTCAAAAAAAAAAAAAAAAAAAGAATATGGTATACCATAGTTTGATTTCACTACTGGAGTATTTCTGGATGATGACAGAGTACAGATGTAGAGGCAGGTGCCTACAATGAAGTAGAGATGTGGGTCCATTGTAGTTGAGAGGTCAAGTAATTGGAAGACAAGCATTTTGAGATAGTGATCGACATGGACATTGAAAATGGGCCAGGGTGAAGGTGGATCTTTCTATGAAGAAGGTGACCCCCTATTTTAAGATGCTGTCAACTGATAATTGCTCTGCAAAATGGCCAGAAGAGGAAGGCAGTAGACAAAGGATTGAATATGTTATCTTTATCCCCTACTACCCTGTGACTGAAATCGTATAAACGAGGAATAGTAAGTTACAAAATTGTGGTTGATGATACAGAAGTGCTTACAGAACAGTCACTCCAAAGAGCCTTTCACTCCACTTATCAAAGTAATTTTGTCCTCAGTTTAATGGCAGGTAAAACAATATTAAACAAAGCAGCCTCTGCTATATCTTAAGCCCTTTAGTTAGTGTTCATAGTAGTAAATGCTCTAGTAAAGGGACAGCATCCATTCAATCCCAAGTTTTCAATCACTTTGATTCTTTTTTTGAGACAGGGTCTGGCTGTGTTACCCAGGCTGAAGTGCATTGGTGTGATCTCAGCTCACTGCAGCCTCCACCTCCTGGGTTCAAGTGATTCTCATGCCTCAGCTGCCTGAGTAGCTGGGACTCCAGGCACATGCCAGCACATCTGGCTAATTTTTGTGTTTTTTATAGAGACAAGGTTTCACCATTTTGGCCAGACTGGTCTCGAACTCCTGACCTCAAGTGATCTGCTTGCCTTGGCCTCCCAAAGTGCTGGGACTACAGGCATGAACCACCACGTCCGGCCCACTTTGGTTCCTAAAGTTTTCTTTCAGGTAAAGTTTTTAATGCATAGTTTCTGCCTAAAGGTTTTGTTTGTGTGGACTGATTATCGGATATGAGAGGAAGGGACTGCCAAAAGGGTCCCTAAGGTTGTGCTTAGAAAGAGAGAGCTGCTGCAAGGAGAGGCTATGTCACTATCTGTGAAGTAATCTGTGAATACGGGACAATGACAACTGACACTGATGCAGAACTCACTGCATGTCTCAAACTGGGCTAAGTACTTTATATCCATTGATACATTTAATGCCTCAACAACTATGAGGTAGGTGTTATTACTTCTGATGCTAATATTAAAGAACAAGAATTAAGTAACTTGTCCAAAATCTCACAGCTAGTAAATGGCAGAACTGGGACCTGAACTCAAAACTCTGTAACTCCAAAACCTAGAGATTTGTCGTTAAATGCACTTGACATTTAGAGGTGGGAACAAATCCAAGAAGCAGTCATCGGTGTCATTTACACTGATCCCTTTTTTCGGACAGGAAACTGGGGGTTCAGAGTAGTTGATTGGAATCTTCTGTTAGAATTTTGAGTGTCTGAAACCTGCTACCCTGGCCCAGCCCAACCAAACCAGGTGATACGGATCCTTCAGAATTCTGCTAGGCATGTTCTGGCTGGAGGAAGAGATTATCTTTTTGCTCACGGACTTTTTCCTTGCTTAATCCTATTTATACCTCTTTCACTAGCATTGTAGACAAATCATTAAAACAAGAAAGTCACATTTCCTTAGAATGGGCTAGTACATTTAAATTTAGACTGATGTTGCACAATCCTATGAGTATACTAAAAAAAAAAAATTCAATTGCTTAAATATACAAATATGTACATGTATTACTTAACATTGTATGGTATATGAATTACATCTCAATAAAGATGCTTTATTTTATTTTATTTTTTCTGTGTGACAGACTTTATCTTTTTCTTAAGGCTAGTCAAGTGAAGCAGTGGGAGTGGAGAAGGAACAAAGAAATCTGTAACTGGTTGTGATCAATTAGTTGTAAACACCACTGCACTCGGACCAGCCAATAAAGCTGCTTTGAAAAAAAAACCCGAGAGTATGACTTAAAACACACATTTCCATTGTTTTTGAGCGGTTTCCAATGAGCTCCTTGCACATCAGGTGCCTGCGGTGGCCTCCCGGCCCATTCATTTCTTACTCAGTCCACATTCACAGAGTCCACCGTTGGGCCAGGCACAGGGATAGCAGGGGCAGGACCCAGCTCCCAGAGGATGAAAGAGAGGTAAAGAGGAATGAATGCTTGCACCTGAAGTAGTAGATTTTTTGGGTTGAGGCTTCGAGTGACTACGCTGCAAATTCGAGTACTGAAAAAGTTGATGTGATTTCAGTATTTAGAAAACGCAGTGTTTTTGTTTCTTTCAATAAGTTACAGAGTCACAGATCCAGGCTCGAAGCTTCAATTTCAGTAACCGTTTACCCCTTTCAAGTGAGTTTTTGCATACCAAGAGATAAATGAAACAGAATTACAAAATTAAGTTAATGCTGAAAAAAAAGGACCTTTATTAACATTAGCGTCGGCTCACAGTATCTATTTTAACTCTAAGCTATGCTCCCGGCTTGAAGCCCGCAACGGCGCTCCGCTCGGCCGAGCCAGGGTAACGCGTGGAGGAGGTGGGTTCGCACGTCCTCTCTCCACTTCTTTCGGCTTTGGGCCTTTCGCAGGTCCAGGCGAGCTGGAAGCGCCTTTCCCGAGCCCGGGCGGGGAAGGGGCCGAGCGGTGCGGAAGGACTTTCTGCGGCCAAGGGCGGCTGCCTTCTCCGCAGAGACTACAATTCGGACCCGGATTGGACTCAGCGTTTGTGGTTCGCGAGGCGGAACACAGGGCACGCTCCGGGCCCTTGCCCGGCAGAGCGCGGGCGGAGGGCGGACCGGGTCCGGGTGAGCGGGTCACGTGCGGCCAGGAGCGGCGCCGCGGGCCGGGAGTGTGCAGGAATGTAGCAACTTGCAGCGAAAAGTTTTCCTGCGCGGCCGACTGGGCCGCGGTGCGGGCGGGCGCGCAGAGGAAGGAAGAGCCGGGAGGCGGGGCCGCGGCGGCGCGGGCGGGCGCTTCTCCCAACTTTAGTTTTGGCGTCTGAGGCGAGTTTCTGTCTCAGTCGGGCGCAGCCGTCGCCAGGGAAAAGAAAGGGAGGAAGGAAGGAACAAGAAAAGGAAATAAAAGAGAAAGGGGGAGGAGGGGTAAGGCAACCAGCCGTCCGGCCTCCGTCAAGGGAGTTGGAGGGAAAAAGTTCTCAGGCGCCGCAGGTCCGAGTCCCTCGCAGCCCCTCCCGAGGCGCAGTCGCCAGACCAGTGGAGCCGGGGCGCAGGGCGGGGGCGGAGGCGCCGGGGCGGGGGATGCGGGGCCGCCGCGCAGCCCCCCGGCCCTGAGAGCGAGGAGAACGCCGCTCCCGCCGTCGAGCCCGCAGCCCTCGCCGTTTCTCCGCCTCGGCCCGTGGAGCCGGGGCGTCCGGGCGGAGCCCTCGCTCGCCTGGTCAGGGGGTGCGCGTCGGGGGAGGCAGAAGCCATGGATCCCGGGCAGCAGCCGCCGCCTCAAGCGGCTCCCCAGGGCCAAGGGCAGCCGCCTGCGCAGCCTCCTCAAGGGCAGGGCCCGGCGTCCGCACCCGGGCAGCCGGCACCCGCGGCAACCCAGGCGGCGCCACAGGCACCCCCCGCCGGGCATCAGATCGTGCACGTCCGCGGGGACTCAGAGACAGACCTGGAGGCGCTCTTCAACGCCGTCATGAACCCCAAGACGGCCAACGTGCCCCAGACCGTGCCCATGAGGCTCCGGAAGCTGCCCGACTCCTTCTTCAAGCCGCCCGAGCCCAAATCCCACTCCCGACAGGTAACCTCGCCGCCCCTCTCCCGGCTTCCCCGTGGGGCGGGACCCAGGCCGGGGGGCGCTCGGGAGTCACGGCCGCCAGCTCTGGCCGGGGGGGGGGTTGCGGGAGGTCTGGGGTGGGGGTCTCGCAGCGAAGTGGAGGAACTGGAGGCGTCCCCTCGGCCGCGGTAACCGGCTCCCTACTCCTCCCAGAGTCCGGGGCTGAGATTTGTTTTTTCCTTTGAGTTTTTCCTCTGCGGTTGTAGCCCCGGGGGGCGTGCTTTCCCTCCTTCCTTTCTTTCTTCCCGGGGTTCCCGGGAGGTTGGCGGGAGTGGGGCGGGTGTGTGGGGAGGAAGGAAGGGGGTGGGGAGAGCCGGGCCTGGGCCGCGGTGGGCTTGCACAATGCGCGCGCCTCCGCGCGCTCCACAACTTCGCTCCCGCCGGGGCCGGGCCGGGAAAGGGGGAGGGGGGCCTCTGGCATTTGTGTGTGGGTGAGTTGCCAGCGGCGGCCGAGTTTCTGAAGTTGAGCCCTGGGCCCCTTTCCTTTGGGGCCTCTCGGTCCACTTCAGTCTCCTGGGGAGTCAAATAATTGTTCTCTTGTTTTCCAATGTTGATTAGGGGTGGGGGTTGAACCAGCCCATTTAGTTTTTTGCTCGCTCTTCACCCCCCCCCCCTCCGCTTCCTCTCCCCCTCCGGTAAGCATTTATTTTCCTCGCGGCTCTAGCGTTTTCAGAACACAGGTCTCGGGCTTCCCCTGCCCAGACTTTCCTGGAAGTTGTTTATGGAGTTCTTTCACCCTTGCGCTTCCCTTGTATCTTGGAACTTGGGCCGGCTCGCTCTTATCAAACTTAGTAGGTTGCGTATTGGTTTCCCAATTGTAGACTATTATTTACAGTCGGCTGAAACGCTTTTAAATTAGCCACATCTGTACGTTGCGCAGGAACTGAGTTGAGCTTTACTGTACCGACGTTTTAACACAAGCCTTTGATAATATACTGCGGTTGACCCATAGGCCAAGTCCTGCCTAGTTCAACTGTGATTAAAAGTTAATGTTTGGGAAGCGATGACTAATTCTGGAATCGCCATTGCTTTATGATTCTCATTGCGGATATGAACATGGCTGCTTTTCCACATACACAGCGTTCGATTATTTTGCCAACTTGATTCAGCATAGAAGTGAAACTATTTATAATGAAAGTGTTAACATTCCAATAGGTCCCAGTGGATTTGTTTAGGGTTCTTTTTCTTTCCTTCTTTTTTTTAAAAAAAAAAAAAAAAACTTGCTTCAGGCTAAACTTGAGCATAGGAACTTTGCCCAAAAGTTAATAGGTTTTCCAAATACTGCAATGTAGTTAGCCGACTCTGGCTGTAACTTGAGTGGAAAGAAGAGTTACCGCCCCCACTCCCATTCCCTCTCCTATTTGCAGGCCTGTTATATAGTCTTCTGTCGGAGACCAAGGAGTTTTGGAACTCAGAAAAGCTCACTTAACCTGATGACAAAAACCCGGGTTAAGGAGGAGGAAGGAAAAACAATTTAGCTGCTTGCCTAAACACTTCAATTTGTCAGAAGTAGACTTAGGTGTGCTTTTTTCTCATACCCCAAAGTGGGTTTATGGAATCATTATGGGTAAATGTATGTTGGCATGCACCCTACAGACTAGACAGTGTGTTTTCAAAATATAATACACATAGATTAGATCCCCCATTTTGTGACATCTATCAGCCACAAAGAATCATAACTGGAAAGTGTACTTTTTCTTCTAGTAATTTTTACATGAATTTCTATCCTGGAGTTCTAAAATTCATAGAGTATTATAGTTTTATTTATTTTTAATAAGTTTTTAATTAAGTGTTGTGCATCTGTAAATTTGACTTTTATCTCTGCTAATGATTTCCTAAATCACACTTATTCTGATGGGAAACAAAGGTACATCACTTTAAGGCATGGATATGACTCTAAGTCCTTCCAATTTCCTTAACTTTGTGAATCTAGGAAATTCTTAACTTTTTGATAATCAAACACTAATTCTAATTTTAAAAATTTAAATAAACTATGCAAGATTAGGAATAGTACAAATCTAGGTTGTAAATACTATTGTTCACAAACTGGTGACTAAGTTCTTTTATGTACATCCATTTTTCCATCATGAAAACTATTTTACAAACGAGAAAACAGGCATATGGAAGTTAAGGTATTTGTTCAGTGTCACACTAGCCAACTTGGACTGGAACTCCGATCTTTGGGGTCCTAGTGCAAAATTTTTTCTGCTTGTATAGAGTTGTGGATGTGTGTCAGTTCTTAAGTTATAATTGGACTCATAACATCTTTATCTTCTACATACAACGATACATTTTTTTTTCATCCTGTTCATTGTAGGTGACTTTTAAGAACATTTGGTCAGTTCAGATTTGTCGATTTCATTAAAAACTGTGTAATTTGTTATGATTTCTTTATTGATGGCATTTTATGATGGGAAAAAATGACAATGGTTTGTTTTTTCTTGGGCTTGACCTAGAAAAAAAATTAATTACTTAAAACCTAGTAAAACATGCATATTATTTGTGTTGTGTTTATACTTAGAATATTTTAGGACTTGGAAAAGCACCCATACTGCATTGACCTTTTAAAAATTAGGCTTTAAAATTCACTATTATTTTTGGAATGTTTTATTCATTTCAGTACTAGTTGTCCTTACATGTCTAGTGTATAGTAGGTGGAAATTCATTAGATGGACTACTCATCAATAAAATTACAAATATTTATAAAGTTTATATTAAAATTATATATTGAGTATCCATTTGAAAACCTGTGCTCTCTGGTGTCAAATATTAAATGTTGAAATTATCCTTTGGTTCTTAGACATTTGGCTGCAATTAAGCACTGACTGGGAAATTTAAATTTTAAGCACTGACTGGAAAAAACTCTCAAAAAACTTTTTTTTTTTTTTTAATTTTTCATGTTAATATTCTTAATAGGCCAGTACTGATGCAGGCACTGCAGGAGCCCTGACTCCACAGCATGTTCGAGCTCATTCCTCTCCAGCTTCTCTGCAGTTGGGAGCTGTTTCTCCTGGGACACTGACCCCCACTGGAGTAGTGTCTGGCCCAGCAGCTACACCCACAGCGCAGCATCTTCGACAGTCTTCTTTTGAGATACCTGATGATGTACCTCTGCCAGCAGGTTGGGAGATGGCGAAGACATCTTCTGGTCAAAGATACTTCTTAAAGTAAGTGAAAATAATGGTGGGAGACAATTATCTAAGAAAAATATGTATTGGAAAATATAGTAAAGCAGTGTCAAGATATAGAATATTATTTGTTTTTATGTTTTACTTAATATTTATGTTAAGCTCTGTAGCTCTGTTATATCTTCCATATATGTTTTTTAGTTTGGTATGACCTAAATACGTTTGTTAGCATGGTTAATATTTTGAAAGCTTTATTGAGTCTTGGTTCTGAGCCTGTCTATAATCTTTTCTTTTGTGGAAGTTTGGTTTTTCTCATTTTGAGCTTGTGCCAAACTCCTGTTAATTAGCCTAGCACAAAATAGAAACAATACCATGAACGTTTTCAAATTCTGGGAATTACAGGACTAACAGCACCTTATGGAATATGTGTGGTGCTACTTGTATCTTTTTAAATAAATATTTTATTGGTAGAAAACTACAAAATAAGTAGGGCTCTTTGGGGAGTCTAATTTTTACAGTTTTTTAAATTGCGAAATGATAAGCACTTCAACTGAAGCTTGATGTAACTTACCAATTTTTCCCCCAAAAATGTAACGGGAAATACAGATTTTTAGGTTTTATATGTAGTCGCTCAGTGGCAAACTTCTTTCAAGCTAGTAGATCTTCAAAACAGAAACTCCGCTCTCTGGGAAAACAGAAACATGACCATTGGGTTGTTTATTTTTTATCAGTCTTTTTGTCTTTAAAAAAAATGGCAAAATTGCACTAGGTTGAAAAGACCAAAATAGAATTTTCTCTCCTCTAATTCTGAAATTACAGGTAGGACCTCAACTTTTTTCTGGCTTGTTTGGATCAAGTATATACAAAATGTTGATTAAAACTATTATAGATGGAAATTGATGTCTTTAAAAATTCTCATTTAATAGTGTTTAATTAGGTTGAGATAAAGTGAAAAACAGTGTAAGTTTTGGTTCAGATCTGTCTTGATAGTCTTCTCCTAAGGCAAATGTAACATTTATTTATTATAACAGATAATATCATTAATGGTGTTTTGTTATGTGAATCCTAATATGTGTTTTATAGTGATTGTCTTCCAGGGTGGGTTGCTACTTTGTAATGTAAGATAGAAAGTTTTGTGACAAACTTACAGAAGAGCAGAGGGAAAGGTTTGATCATGAAAAAATTCCTACAGTTTTTTGCCCCCTTTCCTGCAACTTTTTCTTTTCCTTTTTTTAAAATTCATTTTCTGGTGTCCTAGTATCCATTTCAAAGGATCAAATTTCAACCAGAACAGTAAAGGGCCTGAGAATGGAAAGTACACACAAGTCTGGCAAACTCATCTGCATGAGCAAGATCATTTGTTCTCAAGCAGACATCCAAAGTAAATGATTGAAAGAGCTGCTAGCTGTGAAGGATGTGTCTTGAAGGGGAAGGGAGTGGAAACAAACCAGGTTGTTAGGAAGAAAAAGAAAGGCTGCACTTTTTTGAACCTCTCCCTGCTGGGTCACATGCTGACCTGGGGAGATTTTTTTAAACAGCTTAATAGCTGCTTGCCTTCGTTCTTTGGTTGATGCTGTGGCTAAAAGTATAAGTTTAAAAAGCAACATTTATGCTCTTCTTAGCTCTTTATATCTTGTAATAATTGCTTGTAGGTGATACCTGCCTACAATTTCCTTATTTTGAATGAATGATCTTTTTTTGAGCTGAAATAAATATTGTAGATACAGTTGGGCTTCCGTATCTGTAGGTTCAACTTTCATGGATTCAACCAACCTCTGATTGAAAATATTCAGACAAAAATTACATTTGTACTGAATAATGTACAAACTTTTTTCCTTGTCATTATTTCCTAAATAATGTAACAACTATTTACATAGCATTTACATTGTATTAAGCATTATATGGAATCTAGAAGTGATATAATGTATATGGGAGAATATGTGTAGGTTATATGCAAATATTTTACCAGTTTATATGAAAGACCAGAGGATCTGTGGATTTTAGTACATGTAGGAGGTCCTGGAACCAATCCTCCATAGATGTTGAGGAATGACTATTCATTTTTCAAAGTTTCCATTGATTCTTCCTTTGCGGTACAAAGGTATTGATAAATAGATGGATTAGTGAAGGGTATATGCCCTCTGCCCCCAGTCACCTCATTCACCTCTATCACCTATGGGCCTGTAAGGAAGATAAACCAGGCCAAAATAAGTAAATTTGAAATTACGTCGTATGAGAAAAGGTTGCAAGGATAGAGAGATACTTACCTGGAAAAGAAAAAACTGTGAGGAGAAGAGATAAGACATGATGATTCTTTCAGCGTTTACGGGGAACTTTCATATGGAAGTAAGATTAGTCCTAGGAATTTTCTCATATAAAACTTTTAAGAAGTAGAAGAGTTTTCTTGGACAGGTAAATCTTGCTCAATAAATGCAGGTAAAATCATGGTTAGTTGGTATCTGTCAGGGATTCTATGGGAGGCCCATAAACATTGGATGGGGAAGATGAATGCTGTGGGCTTATAAACTTTTACATTGTAAAGAGTATCCGCTCTACGAACAAAATGCAATTTGGAAAAATATTATGAAATAAGATTATTTCACCTTCTTCCGTTAGCTACTTCCATGATTTTACGGGCTGTACAGTTGTTATAACTTCTTTTTGTGTACTGAACAGATAAATGAGATTAATACCCTAACCATGAGTCAAAGATGATGATAAACTAACCTTTTGGTGCCAACTTTCTATTGTCAAAGTTCATTTTTATCCTACTTTTGATGTTTTAAAATAGGACTGTCTTTGGAATCTATATACTTTTATATCTAAAGAAGAGTGTTGTCAACCTGATGTAGGATAAGATTCAAATTAGTTGCATATTTTATACTTATTTCCACAGGGAAACATTTTATTTAAATGCGTCGTTTTAGATATTTGTTGGAACTGACTTTTAAGTTACAAAGTCTATAACTTATTGAAATTTATATTTGGCATGAAGAACTCTGACCATAAATGACCCAAACAGGCAAGATGATGTAATTTGAGAAAAAACTTAAAAATGTTGACTTCAGAAACAGCCAGTTGTTGCCTTGTGACCATAGATGATTGAGTTTTTGAAGTCAGTTGGCCTATCCTCTAGTTTCCAGGCAGCATGATTATTGAAAGATTATAAGCAGCCAATCATTGGTCGTTTTAAAGCCCTTCTTAGGTCAGTGACATCTTCTGGAGAAGACTTGTACCTTATTTTGGCAAGTGATATGATGGAAGTATGGTGCTAGCTACATTTATCAATGGCATATTTTCAAGCTCCGGGACAAATGTGAAGTATGTAAACAAGGCTTAGCCATATAATACTCTGTGTTTACTGTTCAAAACTAATTTCTTTACCATTGCATTGAGCTTTCATTTCAAAGGAATTCATTCTCTTTATGACTCTGAGAGTTATTACCTTCTTCAGCTGTCTTATGGTTTTCCTACAGGAAATAGTTCTTCAAGTAGTTGGTCAACAACTTCCTATTTCTTTATAAGCTGCTGAATAACTTCCTGAATTAGTATTCTATAATGTCTCTGGTTTCAAGGAGTGTTTTTACTTGCAAGTTTATTCTGTTGACTCTGATACCTTGTAACTGTTAATAATGTTCAAAGACGTGTTTTCTTGTGTATAATGTACCATGTAGTACCTTATAATTTGATTTAAGGGATCTGGATTAATGATTTTCAAAGTTTTTACATTTGCATTGTTTTAATAATGTTCAAATAATTTTTAAAGGATAGTTTTGTTTCAATTTCCATTGTTTATCATTTTCTGAATAACTGGCCACAGTGTTTTTAGTCTGTGAAGATTAAAGGTTTTTGTGGCTGTGATTTCATTAAGTTATATTTGAGTATCTTGGTATACAATTTTAAAAGGATTTTTTTTCAGAAGTTTTTGATATTGTGTGGCATAAAACTTATCCGTATTCCAACATTAATTTGCCTTATAGATGTAATTGATTGCTATACATAGGCTGATTATTTTTCTTTTTCTTTCTTCTTCTTCTTTTTTTTTTTTTTGAGACACAGAGCCTTGCTCTGTTGCCCAGGCCGGAGTGCAGTGGTGGGATCTCGACTCATTGCAATCTCTGTCTCTTGGGTTCATGGGATTTTCCTGCCTTGTCTCTACTAAAAATAAAAAATTTAGCCAGGTGTGGTGGCACACGGCTGTAGTCCCAGCTACTCAGGAGGCTGAGACAGGGGTTGCGGTGAGTCGAGATCCTGACGCTGCACACCAGCCTGGGTGACAGAGCCAGACTCTGTCTCAAAAAAAAAAAAAAAAAGACTGAACATAATGCAGTGTATGTTGTTACTATAATAAAGATTAGATATTTTAAAAAGGAAGTTTCATAAAGAATAAGGTTCTGCTGTTTTTTTCTGTAGCAAGTATAACCTAAATGGTTTCCCTTTAAAAATGAAAAGCTTGTAATTTTGCCATTAAATGTTAAGTTGCACACGTGCACATGTATACACAAAACAAAAAACAGTTCAAATTGCAATCACAAAGTATTTCCCCATTTGAGAGAAAGCCAGTCTCTGCCTGTTTGTCTTGCTGTTGAGGCTGAGTGGAGAGAGAAGATGAAAGTACGCCCTCAGCCCTGGGGGGTGGGGCAGAGCTTACTTCTGCTCGGTGGGTGGGCATCCCAGGGAAGAATGGCACTCACAGTAATTTGGGGAGAAAACCCTGGAGGAACTGTATTCATCAGTGGCAGAAGAAAAACAGTTGGATGATAGTAGGTGTGACAGAGTAAATAGAACATAGAGATTAACATGTTCCTTGGGAAAAATAATAGAATATTTTTAGTGTGACCTAAGAAAGAAGTTCACTAGAACTGTAGAGCCTATGTATAGCAATCAATTGCATCTAACTTCTAGTGAACTACTTTCTAGAACTAAGAAATATCTGGACAAGTTTAAATGTAGCAGACTTAGTTGTTGACTGCAAGGTGGTAGACTAATTTTCTTTTTAAAATCACCTTTAAAAAATAACCTTTCCTAAAGTTCTATGT